GCAGAATTCTTAGACATGACTCCTAAATATTTTTACATTCTAGTTTTAACATATGTTATTAAAAATCTTTCTAAAGTTTCACTATTGCATTTATAAAACAATTATTTGCATTTATAAAACAAAAACTATAGGAATCTTAAAGTAAAACTCACTTCCATAAGTTATACTTTTTGTATATAGTAAGAAAGGTTACTTGAAGATAAGTAACGTTTAAGTTTGGGGGAATTGATCCACCTTAAAATTACTTATTTTTATCATATGTTATGCTCAATTTTTTAAGATATTATCCTTTAATAAAAGGTATTTTTATATTTTTGGTTGCAGGTGCAAGAAATAGAATTTAAGTGTAAAAAGGAGAAAAAATACATCAGAAAGAGCAAAATGGGATAAACTAAAGAAAATGCAAACCAAACAAACTGGAGCCTAGGCGTCAGATGCAGAACTTGGCTAGCGCCTAGGCTCGACAATTTGATGCATAGTCACCATGGTTATTTTCTAGAAGATTCCTTGAATGAGGCCAAATTTTGAAGAGATGTCTGAAGCAACCTATGGTCATTTTTTAAGCTCTATAAATATGGATTAATTCAAAGAGGCTAGGGGGGTCAGATATATAGAGTCACATAGTGTATGAATTTGTTAAGTGTGTGAGAAATTTTCTTTGTGAGTCTCTGTTATTTTAGAGTTTGTGAGTCTTATAAGTGTTGTTGAAGTCAGAGAAGTCAGAGAACTTCAAATGAGTGCTTGGCAGTACATTCAATATAAGTATTTGCATCTTTGTCTTTAAGTTTTGTACTTTGGATTTGAATTTTATAAACATGGTTTGTTTTCTTTTCCTCATGCGTTTTGAGTAGTTCTCTCTCTTTCTCCTTACAATATGAAGTAATCAAGTAAGTGATTTTGATTTTGTTTAGAACTTCTTTTATTCCTAAGAATTGTGATGATATTTTTACCTGATTTTCATTTACTTTTTAAATTGTCCACTTGTATTGTTAAAATTTGTTGAGGAACCTCATAGACCCGAGAGAGCTAAGATTTCTTAAGTTGTAAGTATCACGTTCTACCTCGGAAAGAGTAGTGGCGATCGTCTGAAGGGTGGTGCAAATAGATAGGAAGATAAGATTTGGTCTAGAGTGACAGGCTAGATTCTTTTAACAACTTGGTCTAGAGATTGGAACTAAGGGTCACTGGTAGGTCCTATAGAGAGGGCACAGTGGGTAATATAGGAGTGAGAGACTGAAACCTACCCAACATTACTGTACATGCCGACACCAACTTTAGATTAGTCAATATTCTTTACGCAATCGAAAGAATTAAAGAATAGGTATACTCCTATTTGTCACAATACCACATTTAAGCTTCTAAAAAAATTTTAAAATCCTACACTGGTTATGAATTACTAGCAAAGTAAAAGTCTCTATTTATATATTTTTTCTAAAAGGATCTCATTTAGTTTTACTTACATTTTGTAGAAGTTAGTAAACTTAATTTTCATCTTTAGATATATACTGTAGTCTCTATTAAAGATTTCTTAAAGTTAAAATTCTTGAATTTCATTTTTATTGTTTTTTTCATTTACGTTTCTCCTATGGGATCAATACTGAGGTTTTTAAAGAAAACTTTATATTACTTGAAACAAAACGTATACTTGCGTAGTGCTCTTAGTGAGAACACTATTTTATAAAATTTTATTATATTACATTTGTTCTTACTAGTCACTAAAAATAATTTGGGTAAGTCCAAACATGTGAGATCAATATATGCGTAATTGTGGTCTCTTATGGAATATAAATATCTGCGTAATTGTGAGTCGGGTCAATGAACATGTGAGATGCCATGCAAGACAAGCATGCAAGAATGCACATGTGTAAGTGCAAACACTAGCGACATGATGCATGGTGACATGTAAATGTCATAAGATAGGCACAAAGTAATGTGCCAAAGTGGGGCATAGACACCCGCTATGAGCATATGGGGGCATTTAATCGCATGTGCACAACAGGGTGTGGAGGTGAATGCATTCATGAAAGTAATATGAGATAGTCATGTGATAATACAACATTCAAGTGGAGTCTGTCGAAATGATCAAGTTTGATTAACGATCGGTCGAGCAGATGAAAGTGATTAATCATCAAATAGGTGTGGGCGACCAATCGACAAAGATTAGTGCATCAATGTGATCAAGCCAGTGGTGGGCGATCAATCAAGTGGACCAAGGATGGTTGATCGAGCTAGAGCAATTGATTAATAAAGAAAAGTCAGTTAAACCAATCAAGTTGGTGGTGGTTGATTAGTCGAAGTGATAGGAAATGTTGATCAAGTTGATCGAGCCGGTGGTGGCCAATCAATCTAGTTGATGTAAGGTGGTTGGATGAACCGATCAAACTGATGGTTGTCGATCGGTCTAAACGGCTAAAATAGTCAATTGAGTTGATTGGGTTGGTGGTGACTAATAGATATAATTGATAAGGATGGTTGATCGAGTCAATCAAGCTGGTGACGGTCGATCAATCAAATCAATGAAAGGCGGTCGAATCAAAAAATCAGACCAGTGCAGGTAGATCAATCAAAATGATGGGAATAGTCAATCAAGTTGATTGGGAGGGTGGTATCCAATCTATCGAATAGATGAAGATGGGTCCATCAAATTGATAGCATGTATGGTCGATCGATGAGGCACACGAAAATATGACATTTTTATGCAGTTTAAAATTCATGCAATGCACACAATGCAACTCCATACATAAAAAGGAAACCCAATTGTGCTCAACGACAAATATTGGCCATCCTAGCAAACTCATAGAATCCTAGGGTGAGTGATGAAGAAGTGTACCAATGCCTTATTGTGTGAGGCAACAAAGCACCCACCTCTATTTGCAAGACTCAACGAGGGGAATCACTCACAAAGAGGAATCTTCAAGACCAAAAAAATGAAAACTAAAGGAATGTCTTCATCTTCCTGATTGGCCCATCGAGACCGATTGGCCCATCGAGATGAAATCACCGAGATAAATGACAAGATTAGTACAATTTTTAGATTAAGGGCAAGAAAGGAAAATGGTAGTTTTTGCTCTTTGGATTTATAGGGGGTCGTAAAGTACAAAATTCTATGGGCTTCTCTCTAATCACAAAAAAACATACCCTAAATCCTCTAAAATCCAGACCTAGAGGAACTATGAATAAAAAATAAGCGTTTAAAAGAGTTCTAACCACTGTACGGTTGATCAAAGACTTATTTTTATTTGTTCCAAGCTCCAGTTTTTCTTTGGTGAAGTTCACTCCACTTCTTTCTCAAAGAGTGAAGAAGCTCTCCTCTATAAGGTGACTCTGCCAATGTTCCAAGCTCAACCCTCCAATCCTTCCCCAAAGAATGAATAAGCTCTCCTCAAACGTAGGAGAGATAACGCTCCCCATGTTCTCCCAAGGCAATCCCTTTAAGGAAAATTCCTCACACTCAAGAAAAGTGGTAGGAGAGGAAGAAGGAGAGGATGGAAGAGAGATTTTTTCAAGGGAAAATGAAGAATGAAAGGAAGAAGAAAAAGAAGAATACATCTATATGAAGTAAACCCTTTCTCTCACCTTTCTCTCATGATCCTTGCCTCAAAGCCTCAAATTAAGTCCTCTAGCTCCAAGGAAGAAGGTGCTCCAAAGAAGAGGAAGTTACAGCTCTCTAGGGAAGAAGATAGTCAGCCCAAAGAAAACCTAATGCTGAAGAAGACCCTTTAGAAGAAGCCAAGGAGAAGCAAGAAAATCAAGCAGCTCAAATTCTATGGTTACCTAATGAGGATTTGGCTACCAATGAGAATTTTCAGGTGAAAATCCCAAGAAAAAGTTGAGCAAAAATTGTCCTAGCCCCTAGGCATTATGACCCAGGAGCCGAGTCTGGCACCTACACATCCCTCCCCCTGATTGCCTACATTCTACGCTCTTAGCATCGGACATTCAAGACTACTTCAGATACCTAGGAAATTGAGTTGATTCCTAGGTTCTAATGGGTTGGTTCCAACTTTCTAGGCTCTTGGTTTTGAACCATTTTGTATTTTAGGAGCATAGATGTCAGGGCCTGGCGCCTAGGTGCCAATCTGGCGCAAAAACCCTGATTTTTCGCTGAAATCATTCAACCAAAGATTTTAGCAATTTGTAAAATATGGGAGGTTGGGAATGACTAAAATATGGTACCATATCCTCAAAGATAAATAATTATATGGCCATTACATCAAGGATTTTGGTGCCAACAGGTGCCCCAAATTACTGCATGGGTACTGATTTATAAACCCTAATCATTTCAGAAACACTCATGGGAAGCATTGTTGGATTCCTTTGACTTCAAGTGGCTCTGGATGGACAGATTTTTGTCTTTAAGCACCAGAGTGGGCATTAAACATACCTCAAATCATAACTGATGCAATCCAACAATGGATTCTCTTGAACAAGGTTGAATCATCGTGTTTTGTGCCCAAAAAATGTACCAGCAGGTCTAGATGGATGTCTTGAGCTATGGAACTCTGTGAATAAATAGTAAATAGATCCAAGTCATTCAAGTGGACACCCTACATGCATGACATCAAAAATCGATGCTAACAGTCTTCAGATTAGATAAGGGAAAAATTTGTCAGTTTTAGGGTTTGTTTGGCGCAGATGTGGATTATTTATAATCTGCTGATAAGCAAATTATTTTGATAATCTGATAATCTGCAGATTATCAGAATAATCTGGCTTGCTGTTTGAGGCAGCTTGTTCAGAGTAGCTTATGGGTGGTTAAATGGCGTTCCTGCCCCTGTCAGATGAAACTATTTGGGGCAGCTTATTCACAATAGCTTATTGGTAGAAAAGAAACATATAGAGCAGACACATACGATAATAACAGAGATGTTCTATTCTCACATCCTAACGAGTACTAGGAGAACTAAAAAAAGTACAAATACAAGTACAACAACAAGGAGAAATATTAAAATATTTAACTAAAGACTCTGGCTACGTCGATCCTCAACTGCACGGTCAACCTAAGAAAACATCGGATCCACATGACTGCTGGCACGACTACTGGCAGTGTAATATGTCAGACTATCAGCCCACCGGAAGAAACCGCAACGAGCTGAAACACCTCTAGCACAACCATAGAACTGCCTCCCAAAGCTATGCTCCTTACGTGACGTTAGCAATGGAGACGATAGTCCACAATAACATAAAATCCCTCTGTCCGTACCTGATATCATTGAAGTCATGTTTGTATAACTGCAAAAATAACAAAAGAGTCAATGTCGGTTTAAGGTATTATAAAAGTAACCAAAATTAAATACATATGAATATCAACCTATAACCTTATTAAAGGAAAACTTGGTAGATCAACAACCACAAATATGTGATAGACTCCCTCAAAGCAGTCATCTTGGCTACAATTTCACCGTCTTTAGTTTCAAATTCATTTGACTCTATCTCATCCTCAGGTAAATAATGCCCAACCAGAAATTCTAAAGGTTCTGGAGAGACATGCAGTTGATCGTCGTCAACCATACTGAAGTTCGTATCTGATTGAGAGGGATGTCGTTGGATGAGGTTGTGAAGTGTTATAGTAGCCACCACAATATGCACATGTTTGGGAAATGGATACGAAGACATATCACGTAGGATGACCTATTTCTTCTTCCTAACCTCAAATATTGACGTTTGTTAAACATTTCGTTTCTGTCACGTATGGTGCCACTTGCTCTCTCAAAATCAGGAATATGATATCTGGTGTCCGGATAAGGCTAGATAGGGCTTCAGGTATCCTATTTGCATAAGATACCCGGCATCAACCAAATAGTATTTTCCTAATACAAAAAACAATGTTAAGTAAACTGATTACATGCTCAAATAAACAAATTGTAAAGCAAAACTAACCTGATGGGGGGCGAGGGAAACACTGCGATCTGTAGCGCCATGAAAATTTTGATTCGAGTTGGGTCCTCAAGTTTTTTCACACACTGTACGTGAAATTGTTTGACGGCCACAACTTCAGGAATAGTGCCCAAAAGCCCGAGACAGTCTAATATGTGAGAATCAGATATTGGTGGAGCTGCAAAAGCTTCAATTAAGCGATCGAAGGAGGTGTTCAGAGAATGTTCCTTCTCTTTATTTTTCATAGCAATCCTTGGCCTCTTTAAAATTGTACTGGACTCCCCCATATCCCGCTGGTTAATGCTATGCACTTCTTCATCGGGTGTCAATGGCTCAAGTGTGATCTCATCTGGTATCCCTGTAAAACCGCTTTCAGTACGGTTGAATGAAAACTTTCTCGTTGCGACAACCCACTTAAACATTATGTCCAGTTTCTCTTCAAATTTCGGCTCTTTTCCGCACTGTTTGTACTTCTTCGCTGCTGGTACCGCCTGTGGTATAGCATTTAGAGCTGATGTTTAGAAAATTATAATTAGAGAAAATAATTTGCTAAACTAACAATTCATGGAATATATAGAAATTTACCTCTAGTTTTTCAGCCCACCATTCAGCTGGAGCATCAATTGTACTTTTAATCGGACTTTTAATCGGATCCCAACCCAGGCCAGTAGATCCACGTTTCAACTCCTTCCATATTTTCCATTCCTTCTTCAACTGGTCCCATTTGTTTTTAAATGTAAGCTGGTCGTAATCCCTGCCAGTCAATTCTTTGAATCTCTTACCAATTTTTAGCCACCCTTCCTTATTAAAATATGTTGTTGGTCTGTTACCCATGTCTATTTCTTTAATACACAGATCGCAAAAAATATTTGTAACATCTTTGTCACACATTGTGGAATGACCCCCTTCACCCACTCTTGACATGATCCAACAGCAGTGTCGTGTAACTCTTTTGAATAAAAACATATTAATAATAGTTTTTTTTGCTAAAAATGAACCAACATTCACATAATTAACCAACAGCAGTGTCGAGATTTGCTACAATGAAAAACAAAAAAAAAACAATTGACACAAAGGATATATGTGGTTCGGTCAAAA